CCTGGGCACCCACTCCTTCCCACTAGCTCCTTCCTAGCTTCAGATTCCTGGAGAAGGAAATGGCAACCCACTCCAGTATTCTTGCCTGGAGAATTCCAGGGACGATGGGGCCCTGGTGGGCTGCCGTCTATGGGGTCGCACAGAGTTGGACATGACTAAAGCGACTTAGCAGCAGCAGCAGCAGCTTCTAGATGGCATTACTTTTGGTTATAGTGTCAGCAAAGATCCCAAGAGCTGGAACCACAGGTCCTGTCCCCTACTCTTCTCTGGCTTGCAGAATTGTACCACTATTTCTTTTACAGCAGACTTCCCAGTAGAGAGTCACTCTTGGAGCTGCTGTACTATTCTTATTTATTCGTTCCTTGCCAGGTGCAAGGACCTGCATGGTTGCTGGTGTCCTGGAATCAGCTTGTTTCTGGGTGGTAGCTCCCAGTGTGGCCTGGTGATCCTGTCTCCTGGTGACTGACTCTACTAGCAAGTGCTCTGTGAATTGAGCCAATGGCAGGGGATGCCCTGGCCTAGGGGCCTGCTGCTGGGGGCCCTACCTAGTGGTGGCCCTCCTATCCCTCTGAAGCTCCTGGACACACTGGGCACCACTCTGCTGGCACTTGTCCTGGTGGCATCAAAGATAGAGGCCCCACACAGCACTCTCCACATCCAGGATATAGCTTTCTCCTTTCTCTGCTTACTTCTTTTTAGCATTAACTCTGTCCTTAGGACACAGTTGGGAAAAAAGCAGATGAACCATCCGTAAGAAATGCTAGACAATATGCCTAGCCTTTCCAGATACCTAGTTCACCTAGGGGACAAATGCATCCTCCTTTCCCAGGACCAAGTAAACTGGCTCTGTAAGTACCCTGACCAGAACACTACCAACCTGCTTAGACACTTCAGATCACCAGCTCTCTAGTTGTACACACATTTCTTCCAGATTTCCACATCAGCAGTGGCCACAGAGGCAAATGCAAATACCAGCGGCCATTTGGTTATGACATCCATGCCCCCTACATCTGAGGAGGTAACATTCCTGAATGTCAGCCCATGTGGTCTTGATATTCTTCTCTAGATGGTTCTGGACCTTGGTGATGGACACAGGGATGATACCATCAGTAAATAGTACTAAGTACTAAGGGGCATTCAGACGGTAAAGCGTCTATCTGCAATGCTGGAGACTTGGGTTCAATCCCTGGGTTGGGAAGATCCCCTGGAGAAGGAAATGGAAACCCACTCCAGTATTCTTGCCTGGAAAATCCCATGGACAGAGGAGCCTGGTAGGCTACAGTCCATGGGGTCACAAAGAGTTGGACACGACTGGGCAACTTCACTTACTTTACTAAGGGGCGTTAGGCCTAACTGACAGGTCTAGGTTATCCAAAATGAGTGAGTTCCTTAGGAATTACCTTAGTTGCTTTAAAAGACTTTGTACTTTGTTTCCATATTTCCACAGCTAGTAAAGTTTCAGATCATTCTTACCCCAAAGGTATCATCAGTATCCCTGACCTTGTAAACAGCAGTACTAACCCTCTCTCCCTGCCACTTCCAGCTTCCTCTGTTCTGAACTGCTTACACTTCTCCCAAAGGACACTATCTTTTCTTCTACTGGGTGCCACTGCACATCCTATTCTTCTGCCTAGAAGGTCCTAGCCTGGCTTGTCTGGCTGCCAAACTCCCAAGTATCTTTAACATCACAGCACTTTTGAGGCCAGTCACCACTTAAGCTGAAGTCATGATTCCTTCGCATGGACCACCACTGTGCCTCCTGCCTGCCTTGATTTCTGTCCCATCGCGTCATTAAGTATCTCATCTCCCCTACTGGATTGTGATTATTAATATCCATGGCCAGAGCCAAGGATTCTTTATTTAAATGTACAGCTCCAGTATCAATAGTGTCAAAAATATGTTAGGTGCTTACTGCTTATTGCTTCATTGAATAAAAGAATAAGGTCCTAACAGACTGCCTGACTGAAGCCTTTCCCACTACATCTGATGATTCATCCTGTCCTCTAGGCCCAGCACATACTAAATTCTTTGTAAATGTTTCTGGGATAAAGATATTAAGTGAGTGAATAAGTTTTGAAACCAGCAATGTTCTTATACATTTGCAATTTTCTCTGTGATCAGCACTTTTCCTAGTGAAGAATCAACTCCCTTCTACAAGACACCAGGCTGAATTCCCCGAAGTTTCTTTCTCGCTCACCCTGCCTACCTGTTATTTCAATCTGGATTTTGTAAACATTCAGAGCAAATGACGTTTTTACAATGGGCAAGAACCAAGGAGCAGAGTCTTACTAACTGAATGGAGCCCTGATGTGGTTACTATTAACATCAATACAACTCTGGTCTGGTTATGAGTTGTGACGATTAAACACGATAGTATTTGTGAAAGGGTTCTATACAGAGATTAATGTAGTGTAATTAGTCATGAAGCATTAGAATAATAAAGTTTGAGGGTAACTCCTAGAATTCACCTAGTTCACTCTCCTTGAAAGCTCGGGGAGTTGATTTGTTCATCTTTCTATATTTGTCATTAATACAGGTTGGAGTCATCAATAAATAGAATGAGAGAAGTCCAAGCAATTGTAAGTACTAATTCAGAGGTCAGTAAGAATAAGATTTTTAAGTCTTTGACAGGTGTAGCATTTGTAATTAAAATAGCGAAAGATATTAGACTAATTGCAAATTTTCCTTAAGAAAGCAAAAAATTAAAAAATGGAAATTGCACTTGTCATGTCATAAAGCAATATACTAGGAAAAGTTCTCTAAACATACAGTTTTTCTTTGGTCAAAGTTAATGATTCATTGTGTCCCTTCACTGGAAAAAACGTCAGTGTTCCTTTCCCTCATGTTTAATGTGGAAATTAATATTACTAATATGGATTTCACAAACTATGACATCTAGCAGTTATTGTTTTTCTTATTCATGAAAAAGCAGGAGAATAGTTTCTGTTGAAGTAATATAATAATTATTTGAGTAAAATAACAGTGTAACATTATATCAAAATTGAATTTTCGGCTTCACATTTTTCATTTGAACATTAGTTGTATGGAAGGCTCATTAAGAAAAGGAAAACAGTATGAAAATAATTGTTTTGAAAGGGAAGGAAGGAAAAGAGGTGTGCAGTTTCTTAAAAAGCCAAGGTAGTGTAACAGAGAGCAGAGTTAGAAGGACTCAGAAAATGAGTTCTAGCTTCAACTCTGCTACTAAGGAATCTCTTTTCATTGATAATGCTGAATATGTTTCTCTAGGCGAATCTGAATGTGATAGCCTGTGATGACAAGCAAAGGGGACTATCCTCTTCTGGGACCAGATCAGGACCAGATCTTCTTTTGTAAAGGCTTATTATTGGATTGACTGTTTCACTATGGTTCTACTTTATTAAGAGAAGGCACACAGAGGATCCGTTTGAGGTACATATTACCAGGCACAATTTTATGCTTTGCCACCTGTTCTCTCTGCCAATGCCCTCAATCCTTGCTGCCCCGTGTGGGATCCCTGGAGACTCTGAGAGGGTCACACTGTAACTTTGAAACACCCATTTGGGGGCATTTGTATAAAACTGAGAGTGATGTTGCTGGGAGGTTGCTATGACAATTTGCAGACAGTAGAGGGGATGGGCCCCCATTCTGACTTGAGTCTGCACTAGCTCAGGCCTGCACACTTGGTCTGGCCAGCGGCCGCAGAGTCCCAGGACAGACTTACCGGACCTAGGCCCCCAGGAGAACGTAAGAAACCAGGCAAATCTTAGGAAGAAAGCGCAAGGCGAGCTTCCCGCTTCCCGTCTCCCCTCCCGCTGAAGTAACAAAACCTGTGACCTTTGCACGAAGACCTGTGCCACAGACCACACGAGGCGAGTGTGAGAAGGGCAAGCAGTTTTTCCGTCTGCAAGGGAAAGAGAGGCTGTATATGGCAAAATAAAAAGGGAAATTCTCCACGTGTCTTGGATGGGAAAGGGAAAGAGACTTTGTGTCTCTGGAGGAGAGGAATTGAAGGTATCGCTTGGGAAGAAGGTGTGTCTCTCCCAGTGGCCGCGGAGGGAAAGGCTCGGAGTTGTTAAGGAAATGGGAGGTGTCTCTGATGTTTATTTTTGCTTAGCAACCCACAGCCAGCTGCTTCCCCGGCAGCCGTCCACACGCGCCTCGCTGCCTCCCCTCGTCCTAGCGACTGGAGAGCGGTCATTTGGTGTCAGTAAACCGGGGAGGGAGGATGTGTGGTGGAGGTGGAGGTGGAAGTGGGAGGGCAGCCCCCTCCTTGGCCCACGTTCTGGGTCACCAGGCTAAGACCCGGCCCTCCAACGGGGCTAGACTTACCTTAGCCAGGTGACCCTCACACAACTAAGTTATTCCCATGATCAGATGGGGCGATGGGGTGGTTAAGCCACTGGGACCCGGAAGGCGGAGAGGGGGGCGGGCAGCATTGTCTGTCAGCAGCCATTAGGTTCGGAAAGCTGAAAATGCATACGTGTTTGGGGAAAGCGCCCGGCAGGGGAGGAGGGGGGTTCTGCAGCGATTTCAGCGGGAGGGAAGCAGTGGTGGGTTGCGCTGGGCGGGGAGAGGACGAGCCGGGGAGGGCAGAAGGTCGTTAGCTGAGGCGCCGAGGGGAGCAGTGCAGATGGCCGGAGGGGGAGGCGAAGGGCGAGCGGAGGCTGCGGAGTTTTCCGGGGAGTGGAGGGGTGTCGAGGCCGACGACTGGGGGCGGGGGCGAGCGGGGAGGGACTTCGGCGGGCGGCTGGGTGGGGGAGGGGTGGGCGCGGGAGCCCGGGGGCGGGGCCTGCCCGGCGGCGGCGGGAGCGGGGGCGGGGCGGGGCTGCCCTCCTGGGCCGGGCGGCGCGCGGGCGCCCGGCGAGTGTGCGCGGGGGCGCGCCTGCGCGGGCCCGGGAGGAGGCGCGCGGGCCCGGGAGGAGGCTCCCGAGCGAGTCGGCCCAGGCGGCGCAGCCCGCCGCTCCCCCGCGCCCTATGTGAGGGAATCGGGGAGGCCCGCGGCGCGCCGGGGAGGGCGAGGCATGTGCACGGGCCGGAGGGTGCTGCGGCCGCCCGAGGAAGAGGAGGACGGCGGCGGCGGCGAGGAGAGCGGGGGGCTCGCGGCGGCGGGCCCGGGCCGAGGGGATGCAGCGGACTGTGTGTGTCTGACTGTAGCTGACGCGAGGCGGCGAGGAGGCGCCGGAGATCCGCCAAAGGGGCGACCAGGGGGCGGCCGCGGTGGCGGCCGCGAGAAGTAGCAGCAGGACGGGCGGCGGCGGCGGCGGCGGAGACGGCAGCCTTGAGATGCATTTTCTTCTCCAGCGGCCATGTTAACCAGGAAACCTTCGGCCGCCGCTCCCGCCGCCTACCCGACCGGTAAGGAGGCCCGGGCCCCGCGGCCCCCGCCGGCCCCCGGGCCAGCCCTCGTGGCGCCGGCGCCCGCTGCCAGCAGGACCTCGAACAAAGTCTGCGCCGCGGCTGGGCGGCTCGGGGTTCCCCGGGTGGACGGCGCGCCCTCGTCTCGGCTCATTGTTAACACGCGGGCCCCGAGGCTCCTCGGAGCTGAGCCCTCTGGCCGGACGGGAACCGTTCCTGACCTCCCCAGTCCCGTGCTCGGCGATGCGGCGGCGCCCGGGTCGGCAGTCCAGTCGCGCTCCGGGCCTACGGACGCCCTCAGAGTGGACCACCGGCCCGGCCCAGCCCGGCTCCCTGGCGGGGTCGCGAACTCGCTCGCGCGAGGGGAGCCCTACTTAACTTTGCAGCCGCCGGAGCCCCGCCCGCGGGCGCGCCGGGTTTCTGCGTCCCGGGCCTCCCGCCGCTCCCCGGGCGCTCGTACTCAAGGTCCCTGGCTCGGCCCGGGGGAGAGCGGGCTCCGCAGCCTGGAGGGGTGGGGTGGGGCGGGGCCACGGGGTCCTAGTGACTTTCTCCCCCTTGACCCTCTTTTGTCTCCTCCCGCGCGTGGCTGCCAGGCCGAGGAGGGGACAACGCCGTTCGCCAGCTTCAGGCTTCCCCGGGGCTCGGTGCGGGGGCCCCCAGGAGCGGAGTGGGGACCGGCCCGCCCTCCCCCATCGCCCTGCCGCCTCTCCGAGCCAGCAACGCTGCCACCGCAGCCCACACGGTGAGACCCAGCCCGCGGGCGGCTGGGAGGGGGGACGGGGGGCGGGAGGGGGCCCGGGGCACCAGCACCCGGACTTGGAGGGTTCTGCAGCCGGGAAAGGGGAGAGAGGTCGAAGTGCGGGTGTCTCCACGCCCCTGGCCAGTGGCTTGTCCGGGACGCCGCCCTCTGGAACTTGGGCGAGCCCAAAGCTGCAGCCACAAAGGAGGATTCGTGGCACGGGCCCCTCACTTCCCCTCCGGAGCCCGCCCACCCCTGCGCTCCTCTTCCTTCGAACTTCCTCCGGCTCTTTTCCCCTTTTTTTTCCCCCGTCCTTGCTTCCTCGAGCTCGTTTCCCTGACCCGATAAACATCCCTCCCCCTCCGCCACCACGTTGGGTAGTGGATATTTATAGAAATAGATATGTGTTAGGGTCAGCCCGGCTGTCCTGCCCGGAAAATAGATCCCCCAAAGAGCCTCGCAGGCCTGGCCTCAGCCAGCAGGGAGCACCGCCAGTTGTCCCCCGCGTGTGGAAGCATGTTTTATGAGTGCTACAGGTTTGAGCAAAGCAGAAATTGTAATTAACATTAACAAAAATAAGAGCCGCAGCCGCAGTCAAAACAAGCCACCCCTGTAGGTTTCTGCAGTTGGGTATTATTCAAAAGGAAAGGGCCAGCTTTGCTTCCCAGGGAGGTGGGAAGGGCAGGGCGCCTGACAGGGCCCAGAGGGAGGTGAGAGCCCAGCTTGACTTCGGCGTGTACCTTTTTTCTCCGTCCCAGAGAGAGCCCTTGGATGGTGGCTGACAGCCTAGCGGAGCTGCGCACCGGAGGAGGTGATGGTTTCCAGGGTCTTGTTTACATATTCCTCTGGATCTTTCAGAGGAAACGCCTAAGATGGTTCTACATGAGGGGCGCTTGCTAGGGATATGGCTTTGTTTGCCAAGTGAAAGTTAAGTTCTTGTAGAAAAGGCTGTTTCTAGCCTACAGCGGGATAGCTCTGAGGGTCATGTGCTCTGCGGAAACTTGTTTATCAGGGGAGAATTTGTGAGGGAATGGCTAAAGTGGAATGTTTTCTGTTAGACCTGATTATCTGTGTACAGTTCCACTGGAAAATGTTTTCTTGTTAAATCTTCTATCTCTCTCTCCTTCTTTTTCTGTCTCTCATGACACATCTAGACCCAGGGGCTAAGAATTCACTGCACAGAAGTTAACCAATCTGTTGGGGCTGTGGTTGATGGAAGCTGAATCAGTAGACTGCTGATTCTGCGTGTTCTTGTTGCGGGTGATGTTTTAGTTGAGAAATTGCCATTGGGTTTTAGGTGTTTCAGTTTGTTTGTTTGGTTTGGAATCATCTGACAACTTGGAAAGTATAACATCCAGTTTTTTTCCATGTCTGAATGTAATCATATGACTTGGTGTCACCTGGAAATGAAATACTACTTGGTTTGCATCTGGATTCTGGTTTTCTAAGAGTGGGCTTTGCTTGATCAGAACCTCTTTGCAAATGAAATGTGTATGAGATGATGGAAAGTGAAAGGTGATTACTATAGGAGTAGTCTGTGGGAGACCAGAAATGAAAAGATTATGTGGGTGCTTCTCAGCTCTCCTAATGATAGTGCTTATATTTTGCTGTGGTATCTATTTGATTCACCTAAAACTTCAATGTGCCATTGATTAGAAGCTTGGTTTTGAAAGTATAAACTTTGGTTCTGGTTGTTGTTTAGTTTTGGTTTTATTTACACAATATTGCAGACTTTCTTAAATGGGTGAGTAAAAGGACCATGGGGTTTTATCTGGTTCTATGCCTTCATTTTATGGATGATGAGAGCCGACAAGTTAACTGGTTTGGTCAAGATGCCTGAGCTAGTTTCTGTGAAAGCTGGAGCTAAAGCCCAGGCCCTCCTGAATCCAGCTTTACATACTGCTTGCCTGCTAATTCTAGGAAATTGAACTGGTTTGGTTATAAATGCACAAACCTTAAAGATCCATGTTTCTGTATGTCTTTGAGATTTTTAAAAGTTTTTAGTTTTTAATTCCACAGCAGTTACAACTAGGAATAGCTATTAATGATTGAGTAGGGGAAGGGCAGTATGAAGAAGAAACTAGTGTTTGCCTGTTTTCCCTTGTGAGTGATGATGTAGGTAGATAAATATATGACTATGAGAATTGTAAACTTTGGAATTTATCTAGTGCATTGCCCTCTTGTTCCTTGTCTCCATGGATATCTTGTATTTAGTCATTTTGTTTATGTCTTTTGGTCCTAAAAGCACACCTAGTAACTACTCTGATTCTTAATAGTTTTTTCTTTTTAGTGTTTTGGGGGGATATTAATTTGCTTATTTTTAAAATTCTGAAATAACTGCTTAATGTTTAAAACACTCTCCAGTTACCAGTTTTACTGTTGTAAAATAATTGGAGTTGAAGAATGAATATTCCTACTTTAAAAAATAGTAGAGTTTGGTAGAAGAAAAGTAGACATTTGACTCAGGGCCACACAGACCATCAGTGTTTGAGGAGGAGCTAAAATTCCAATCTTTTTGGACTCAGTTCTATTCCCATAACACTATATAGCATTTCTAAGATGACTCCAGTGAAATTTTAAAACTCCCAGAAATGTTAACATAGGGAAGTATGTGTGATTTTCCCTTTTATTTTTGGAAGAGATTGAAACTACCAAATTGGCTAGACTATTGTTCTTACATAATTTTTAGTGCAAAAAATGTTTCATGGTCAAAGAGGGCTTTTTTAGGTATCTCTGCTTTAATCCATACATTTTAGGTATCTAACAGTTACATCCACTCACTGTGTTATTTTTAAATTCAACAGGCACTGTGCTAGGTAGGCATTGGCAGAAAAGGAAAAAGCAAGTAAGAGGTTTTAAACATCCTTAAGTTTATGGTATAGTCCTGGCCTATGTATTCTGGAAATGTTTTGGCATTTCTAGGGTTTTTTTCCCCCTTTTTATAGAACAGTTAATTGCGCTTCTGACCCACGTTGTGATTGTAGAGTCCTATGGTGTTTAAGACAATATCCTCCTTTACTGGAGCCCCTCAAATGAATTTCCTTAACATCTGGAAAGTTTTTAAGATTCCACATGTCACTTTTAGGTATTTAGTTGATGCTGTTATTCTTTTAACAGGCTGTCCTTGCCTCCGTGTCTCTGCTTATGTATTGCAATCCTAACATTTTGTGACCTGAGTCACCAGGGACAAGTCTTAATTCCCTGGGTGTTGACTTCATGTTTTCTTATGAAGGTACAAAGGTAGTTCTCAAGAATAACTCAAAGAGGTGAGAGTTAAAAAGGAGTTACTGACATGCATTCTTCCATGCAGCAGAAATTGACTGAGTGCTTACTGTATGTTTGGATTTATGTCAATAAGGATTTAAAAAGATAAGAGGTGACCCCACCCTGGAACTGCTCACATCCTGGTTGGTATATCAGGTGTGAAAACAGGTGTGAAATGAAATAAGTATTTTAATATAGCAGTGCTCTGTAAGCACCCTGGAAGGGAAAAGGACCTTTTCCAAGAGGAGGTGAGAGTTGAACTGGCCTTTGAAGGGTGAGTAGGAGTTTTCCACGTAGCCCACTCTAGCAAGGAGATTTCAGGCAGCACTGGGAAAGGACACTGGTTTAGCTCTCCTTTCAGTTCAGCTCAGTCGTGTCCGGCTCTTTGCGACCCCGTGAACCGCAGCACGCCAGGCCTCCCTGTCCATCACCAACTCCTGGAGTCCACCCAAACCTATGTCCATTGAGTTGGTGACGCCATCCAACCGTTTCATCCTCTGTTGTCCCCTTCTCTTCTTGCCCTCGATCTTTCCCAGTATCGGGGTCTTTTCAAATGAGTCAGCTCTTAGCATCAGATGGCCAAAGTATTGGAGTTTCAGCTTCAACATCAGTCCTTCCAGTGAACACCCAGGACTGATTTCCTTTAGGACGGACTGGTTGGATCTCCTTGCAGTCCAAGGGACTCTCAAGAGTCTTTTCCAACACCACAGTTCAAAAGCATCAATTCTTCGGCGCTCAGCTTTCTTCATAGTTCAACTCTCACATTCATACGTGACCACTGGAAAAACCATAGCCTTGACTAGACGGACCTTTGTTGATAAAGTAGTGTCTCTGTTTACTCACTACTATACTAAGCACACTGTGCCTTTTACCTTGTTTAACCCTCCTAATGCCCCTAATGAGGCAGGTTTGTTACCCTCTTTATACTGATAAGGACCCTGAGGTTCAGAGAGCTTAATTGCCTAAGGTCATATAGTTTGAAGTGGTGGAGCTTCGATTCATTTCCCTTGTGTCTTAATTGAAAATCCCTGAACACCTAACCATTAGGAAACATGACCTCACTGAAAAGAGAGGAATGTAAAAGAGTGGTGTCTCCATGGGTCATAGGGAATCCAGCTTATTATTCTCAGAGAGAGTGTGACAGTGGTAGGTGACACTGGAAAGACTCAGGCCATTTAGGCTCAGCATTTTAGAACCTCATGTTCTTGCCTGCAAGTTCTTGAGTTCTTTGTGGAAATGGAGTGCCCACATGAGCCTTAAGCAAAGTCAGGGGCAGTGTGAGTGACAATTTTCAGTGGTAACTCCAGAAACAGCAGAGAGAAGAGATGGTGAATTCTAGGCTTACAAGCAAAAGGACACGTGAGGAGGTGCTGCTTCCATTGTCCCAGTAAAAGACACAAGAATGCCAGGTGGAATAGCATGGCTGGAGGGGAGTGGGTCCGTTAGAAGTGACAGTGGGGCTTCATGGTGACTTGGGAAGGTACAGGAGATATGGAGATGGACTGAGTGACTATTTGGGAGGGTGACTCAGTAGGTAAAGAATCTGCCTGCCAATGTTAAGAGACCAAAATTTGATCCCTCTGTAGGGAAGATACCCTGGAGGAGGAAATAGCCACCCACTCCAGTATTGCCTGAAAAATCCCATGGACATTGAAGCCTGTTGGGCTGCAGTCCATGGGGTCTCAAAGAGTTGGACACAGCTGAGCACAGCAGCACAGTCTTTTCTTGGTTAGAAATTCAGGGTTATGGGAGGAAGAAGTGGTTTGAGCGGAAAAAGTGCAAGTGGAGTTTGAGTTGCCCATGAGGAAGGCAGCTGATCTGTAGTTGGACACAGCGAGTCTTGAGTTCAGGAGTCATGGATTGGGCTTGTCTAAGCTGGAGGTGTTCCAGGAGAGTTCCGGGAGTGAAAAGCCACGAGCAACTTGAGGCTTGAACTCTGGGGGAACCCTGGAACCCTCCTTGGTTACTGTTGTGGAGGAGACCAAGAGAAGGTAGTTGGGAGAGACAGAAGGTCATCCAATTAATTGGCAAACTCTAGTTCTAGTCACTCAGCTTCTGTGATGGTATTTTAAATTATGCAGCACATTAAAATTGCTATTATAAAAATTGAAGTCAGTTTCTGAAGCTCAGAATGTTTTACTTTACCCTCTTTTTAGAACTTCCTATAGCTCCAAGGTCAGTTTTGTCCCCAGTGAAGCCTCATGCTTTTGTCCTGTGTATACTGGTAATGTTGGTTTTTCTTCTGAAATCTCTCCAGGCTGCCCTGAAGAGAATGGTTCTCTTGGAGACATATATTTCTAATTTCAGGTCCTTTCATTCCTGGTACTTGAAAGACCACAGTGGGGAGGAGGAGAGGTACAGAGAGTGAGGCTTGGACAAAAAGCACTGGACAAGCCTGTACTGCTTTTATATATATATATATCCAGGACTTCCCTAATTCATTTTTATGAACTGCTTTGCTTTTGGCAAAGAATGAGGATAAAATAGCTTGTCTAGCTACAGTGACAGGAGATAAGTTCATTTAGCATAGAATATCATCTGTGAGCTTAGTAGAAGGGTTCAACTAGAAGTCTTGCAGAAATCTAAGAAGTAAAATCCCTCAGTCATTGAAATCACACTTCAGACAGGCCCAAGTACTGAACTGTATTCTCCTTTGTTTTAGAAGCTTGCAGAGAGAAAGCGCATGCCTCAGATAGTGCATCAGTTAAAGAAAATTTGAAGGTCTTGGACTCCTAGTAAGAAGGACTTGGAATTTCATTTTGTAATCTAGGTAGTCCCAAACCATTTCTTGAATTATGATGTTACATAGAACACTTCTACGCATTTAGTGATATTTAAAGCCCAAGAGATATAGGGTTTAGGAAATGATGGGGAAAACACTGAAAGTTGAGGACTTCAGATAATTGACCGTATACTCCTGAAGGGCTGTGTGGCCAGACCTCAGAGAACACTGAATGAATGAGATGGATTGCAAACAGCAAGTTGATCTTTAAGCTTTCATATTAAAAAAATCATCTACTGGGATGCTTTTAAGACTTGTGAGTTATTGTCTGAGGCTGGCAAGAATTCCTAACTGGGAGGGGATCCTGGCTGTTAGTTTTCTTCCACCCCTCACTTCTTGGCCATAATAATGCTTGAGAGAAATCCCAAGTAGATTCTCTGTAAGAAGGCTGGGGCCCCTGGCTTATGCCATCACTTTGTTCATACAGAAATGTTCAGGAATGGCTTGTGTGCCTGAAATAGAAATCGCTACATTGTATTCCTTGTTGGAAAGCTGAGTATCCCAGCAGCCTGGAGAAATACATGTTTTGAGAGAGCCAAGCCATTGACCAAAGGAAGGCCCAAGTGTGGCAGTTGGATTGTTGGGCTGGATGGCCTTAAATGGTCATCACAGTCAGTAAAGCCCAGAGACTTAAAATAGGTTTGGGGTTTATAAGATACTACAGTACATATCTACATGGGAATCTTTTCCAGCCTAAAAGTACAATTCTCTTTGCTTCTGGATCATGTACTTTGCTACGTGTAATTAGTTTGATTTGCAAGTAGTGGAGAAGACCAGGAATGAAGACAGCAGTGCTCTCAGAATAGAGCTAGATGCCAAAGATGGAGTAGTAAACAAGACCAAACTGGTCCCTGCCCTCGTGGTAATAAAGAAGCTACTAAGTGAAGTGTGAAAAATGTTGTAATCCGGGGGCGGGAGATCCTGTAGAGTGCCAACGTGTTCATGCTCTTTCTGAATCCTTTCATCTTGATATCAAGTATGGGTTGAATGGAATGTCTGTGATACCACAATGCCTGTGCTAAATGTTAGGTAGAGAATGATGGCCAAGAAACCTGATCTCTGCCTCCAGTGAGAACTAAAAACTCTTAAGGACCCTGGAAATGTGTACAGCAAACTCTTTGTTAGGTGCAGCAGTTCTGGGGTCCTTTCTTTTTTTCCAGATCCCTAGTTCCATGGCCATCCCCAGCCCCTCAGCCTCCTCTGCCTCTGTCTGAGGCTGTCTGCATCACCACGTCCACTCCCCCTGTGGCTGTGTCGGTGAGGTCCCTGCTGCGCGCACAGCTCCTTTCCTTTGAAGAAACCTGATACCGGCTGTACATCCAAACCCAATTGGATTTCGTGAAGGTGGGGGTGGGAGCCAGCTTATAACATGGCCCTTGGGAGCGAACCGCTTCTGCCCACTGATGTTCCCTCTCTGCATTCCAGATCGGCAGTGGTAAGCACACGATGAATGACCACCTACACGTCGGCAGCCACGGACAGATCCAGGTTCAGCAGCTGTTTGAGGACAACAGTAACAAGCGGACCGTGCTCACGACACAGCCGAATGGGCTGACCACGGTGGGCAAAACGGGGCTACCAGTGGTGCCGGAGCGGCAGCTGGACAGCATCCACCGCCGGCAGGGGAGTTCCACCTCTCTGAAGTCTCTGGAAGGCATGGGGAAGGTGAAGGCCAGCCCCATGACGCCCGAGCAAGCGATGAAGCAATACATGCAAAAACTAACCAGCTTTGAACACCATGAGATTTTCAGCTACCCCGAAATATACTTCTTGGGTCCAAATGCAAAGAAGCGCCAGGGCATGACAGGCGGGCCCAACAACGGTGGCTATGACGACGACCAGGGATCCTATGTGCAGGTGCCCCACGATCACGTGGCTTACAGGTACGAGGTCCTCAAGGTCATTGGGAAGGGGAGCTTTGGGCAGGTGGTCAAGGCCTACGACCACAAAGTCCACCAGCACGTGGCCCTGAAGATGGTGCGGAACGAGAAGCGCTTCCACCGGCAGGCGGCCGAGGAGATCCGCATCCTGGAGCACCTGCGTAAGCAGGACAAGGACAACACCATGAACGTCATCCACATGCTGGAGAACTTCACCTTCCGCAACCACATCTGCATGACCTTCGAGCTGCTCAGCATGAACCTCTACGAGCTCATCAAGAAGAACAAGTTCCAAGGCTTCAGTCTGCCTCTGGTCCGCAAGTTCGCCCACTCCATCCTGCAGTGCCTGGACGCTCTGCACAAAAACAGGATAATTCACTGTGACTTGAAGCCCGAGAACATTTTATTGAAGCAGCAGGGTAGAAGCGGGATTAAAGTGATTGATTTTGGCTCCAGCTGTTATGAGCACCAGCGGGTCTACACATACATCCAGTCCCGTTTCTACCGGGCCCCGGAAGTGATCCTTGGCGCCAGGTACGGGATGCCCATCGACATGTGGAGCCTGGGCTGCATCCTCGCAGAGCTCCTGACCGGTTACCCCCTCTTGCCTGGGGAGGATGAAGGGGACCAGCTGGCCTGTATGATTGAACTGCTGGGCATGCCCTCCCAGAAACTGCTGGATGCATCCAAACGAGCCAAAAATTTTGTGAGCTCCAAGGGTTATCCTCGTTACTGCACTGTCACGACTCTCTCAGACGGCTCCGTGGTTCTCAACGGTGGCCGTTCCCGGAGGGGGAAACTGAGGGGCCCACCGGAGAGCAGAGAGTGGGGGAATGCACTGAAGGGGTGTGATGACCCCCTCTTCCTTGACTTCTTAAAACAGTGTTTAGAATGGGATCCTGCAGTTCGCATGACCCCTGGCCAGGCTTTGCGGCACCCCTGGCTGAGGCGGCGGCTGCCAAAGCCTCCGACGGGGGAGAAGCCGTCTGTGAAGAGGATCCCTGAGAGCACTGGTGCTATCACATCCATTTCCAAGTTACCTCCACCTTCCAGCTCGGCCTCCAAGCTGAGGACTAACCTGGCACAGATGACCGATGCCAACGGGAATATTCAGCAGAGGACAGTGTTGCCAAAACTGGTGAGCTGAGCCGAGCGCCCTGATGCTGGTAATCCTGAGAGATACGACATTGCTGAGCCTTATTGGGTTGAAAAAGAGTAGCTCAGACTTGTTTTTATTTGCTCAATAACTCGACTCATTTGTATCTTTTCGGCACTTGTTTTAATGTAAGAAAGTTGTTTTGTTTTATAAAATACATGGGGACAATGCTTTAAGTTTTTATACTTTCTGAAACTGTTTTTGTGTTCTCACAGTACGATGAGCCTTACTGTAATTAGTGTGGCAGAGTAATAAACATCAGTGGCAGGCCATTGATCACGTCGTGACTGCCGCGCATCTACAGATCGGTGTCAGAGACATTCACTATGTCTTCATGGTTCGTAGTGTGTTCTCCCCCAGGTGATTGCCTCTGAAGGGCCCCCACCCCCACGCCCTTCTCTCTCCACACTCCAGGTTCATGCACAGGTGCAGCATGTCCTTCGTTTTCCGTAAGTTACCTGGCTGGTAGTGATGGTGGGAGGAGGAGGATCAGGACGAAAATGGTATTGTAAGAAAAACTGCACCTTAGAGGTTTTTTTCCCTGAAATAGTGCTCAGAGACAAAATCCCCACAGTTGAAATGCCCAGTTAGCATTTTGACGTTCTAAAGGCCGGCCAAGCAGACCTGGTGGATGAATGGAAATGTGTGTGTCCCTCCAAATTCTCCAGTGTGATCAGCGAGCTGTTTTGCAAAGAAGTCTCGTTTAACAGAATTTGGTTTTGCGCCTAAAATTAGAAATGTACTCCATGAACTAACTGTTCTTCCCTTCTTTTTGCATTTCTCCCCACTGTTCCTCTTTGACCACACATCTGTTGCTTGCATCTAATTTCTTTTCCTTCCTTCACATAACATATCCCAGACTGTTAATACAGAAAAGAGACATTTTTAGCTGTGATTATGACCATCTTTTTCATGTTCCAATTTAAAAAAGAACAGCCTAGCTACTTAAGGTGGGGATTTCCATAGTTCCAAAGACGGTTTAGCAGAGTTGAGTGAGTTCACACTTCAGGTGCCACAGTAAGGTTCTTTTAGCCTGGGAAAGCATCACCTCTTTAAAAAGAAAGAGGGTTGAAAATCCTCTTCATGAACAGACATCAATTGTCCTTGTCCAGCAAGGCCAATTTTAACAAATTCTAAGGAGGAAAAGTTCAGCCTCAAGTTAAATGGTTTGACTTACTCTATGCATCATTAGAAGAACCACAGACATTGCATTCCTCTGTTTTATTTTACTTTGGTTTGGATTGCACTTGATTGTTTTTGTGGGAATGACACTTTACCTGGAAAAGTACTCTTGAGAGTTAGGTAAAAGAATATTTTCTCCTCTGAATAAGAATTATTTTCACAGTGAAAATTTCAGTATTTTATCACTAATGTATGAGCAGTGATACATATCGGTTTCAAGGCACGTGGAAAAAAATTTAGTTATGTGCAATTTAATATAGAAAGATTTCTGCCTGTTTGGACAATAGGTTTGGGTAGTATAAAATAGGATAAATACTCTTTTATATGCACAGATATTATTGTATGGATTGCCTGTAAATTGATTTACAAGTACTTAAAGCATGGTCCCCAGTGAGGCCAAGAAAGTTTCCGGTTAAGTTCTTTTAATATTAACCCTACAGTTTCTCTTGCTTTAAAAAAGAGAGTAGTTTTGAACAAAACACTTTACTTATCTTGAGACTTTGTCAGTTGATGGTGGAGAAAAATGCTCAGGAAATATTACAGATATTTGCCAAAAAATCAGTAATAAGATTAGCTTATTAATAAGGTAGTGGTGTTGATATTTGCTTTACTATTTAAGGGTGTCACTGATTAATTTATACTTCTGTATTTAGAAATTATAGCTTCTTTCCCCTAGTCAAATTCTTTAGCCTGTTGTACACATTTCTGTGTAATCTGTGGAAGTGCAATAATGTTAGTAAGTTGCATTTTAAATGATGCTCATGTGATCAGTCAGTGGCTTATAGAATTTAAAGATTGTGTATTATTAAAATTTTGGCTTAAAGGCATAAGAAGTGTAAGACTTTGTGGTGGCTTTTTAAAACCATAAGCCTCTTAATGATGGTTAGCGTCTTTAGGTCATTAAAAACAAACAGAAGCATAAAGGCTATTTTCCCCTTGCGATGCTCCTCTTCCGCCGTAGCCACTCTCAGGATTTTCACTGAAATAAATGAACCTGAGCCTGCCATTAATAGGAATTTCCCTATAGAATGATTATCCATGTTAAAATTTATAAACAGACTTAACACTGCTTGTCTCCTCTCCCACCACACAGAACTGGTTCTTAAGATGCCAACAGTGCATTTGTGACTACCTTTATTCACAAATGTAACCGGAAACTTTTCAGCCAAACTAAAACTGCAGCACTATGGGGGCTCCCCCCACACCGCACCTCCTAAATACAGTGGAATTTCCCTTATTCACAAAGAGCCACCACGTTCAGTGTTTAGTGATTGAGCTGCTTTTTACGTCTAGCTTAATTATAATGTCAAAAAAGAAAAAGACAAATGTTGCATCGTTGAGATTTTAAAACATCAACCAGTGAAGGGCTCTGATAAGCTACTAGGAGTCGGCTTGGAAACAGTCCTTGGTCTCACAGGTTGCCATTGTCTAGGGATGTCTGAGCTGTTTGCAGATTGAGGAAGAGCACAGCGTGGTTTGGTCTTCGGTTGTGGTCTCATCTGGCTCCGTTTCTTGCACCCCAGAGCGTGCACTACCACTTACGTGTACTGCTACGACGGTGATGCAGGACAGTGTAGGTTAACAGCAGAGGAGAACTTGTGCCCTCAGTGATAGCAATGTGCCTTTTGTTCTGAATGCCATGTTGTAGGGCATGCATTTTTTGGCCTCTTTAACTCTTTGAATACTAGGCAGTAAGAATGGAACCCACCTCTGCAAAGAGACATCTGTCTTAAACATCCAGATACTTACTAGCCTTAAGAGAAACCATAAGGCATAAATCATCGTCAGGCACCAAAAAAGGTCGCCACTGGTTAGTTACACATGGAATTCCTATGTTTAAGGGGTTAAAGATGGTCTCTGTTGTATCTTAACATCAGACTGATTTTTTAAATGATATTTTTTTTGTTATGCTAACACTAGACAAAAATCGACTGTATTTGTAAAAATTTACCTCAAACCATTTAATTTTATAGTGTGATTAATCCCAGGGCATTTGGTATGAACCAAAGTGCATTCCTTTTATATATGCCTGGCTCTAGTAAGGATGGCCAGGGATTTTTACAATTTGGGTGCAAGGCACTTAAGCCACTTTTAAACTTACTAGGTGGTTTGGAGTCATGTGGAAGGACTCCATCAGAATGTTAGGAAACACTTTAGGCATCAGTAGCATTGGGCCATATTGGAATCTTCAAAGTGTGAATCATTTTCAAGAGAGCATTCATTTTTGTAATTTTTCTCATCAAGAATATTCTGGTAAGCAGAAGACTTAAAACTGATTTGGTTGGTAAAGGTTTTAATATTGCCCAACATAATGCTGTGGTAGCATTAAAAAAAAAAAGGTATTTGGAACTCTTTGTTAGGGGCTTGTACATCTCTGCTATGGACATAGATAAAATTAATTGTAATTATACTCAGCTCAACTGCTACAGTTATGTCTAGGCAGTGGCTTGGGTTTCTGTCGAGCAACAACTTAGACACGTGACTGTAATATGCTGCAACTGTGTGTACTGAAAATATGTGAAAATGGTTGAATGTGGACTGTGTATATATGTATGTAAACATTTCTGTGAGAAGCTGCTGTCGCCACTTAACATGAAATATGTTCTAGTGGATTTTAATCCTAGTGGCCAGTTCTATGATACTGTATGTATTGTATAGCTGATGACAGGAGTAAGACTGTTCAGTGAATATTTGTTAAATTTTATTGTCGTGGCCAGAGATAATTTCAGAATAAAATTTTAATGTCCTACCTTACTTTTCTCCCCTTTTCTAACTGTAATTTTATTCCTGATCTATTTCTGGTGTTAGTCTTGGTCTGGTAGCCTGGAGAGAGTTTAGAATACAAATATTTTTCAGCAATCACTGATTATTTTTTTATTAGTTCCATATAAATGTACAAATGCCAAGTCAGAAAGGCTAGAGTTTTAATTAGATCACTCTTGCTTTTTCTCAATGTATTCTGTTCTTTACCTTTAGTTTTTTTGTGAGCCTCTGCTATATTCTCTATCTTATATTTAGTATCTTGCTAGAACATCAGATCTTTTGTGTGTGTGTTTGTTTTTTAATTTCTTTTTAATTTTCAGGGCCGTGGGAGCAGAGTTGAAATTATTTCCCACTGGTCTTCATTCTTCCCTGTACTTAAAGTCCTGGTAAATTATTCCTAATGTGCTCTCACCAGCTCCCCCGTATTTTGTTAATGCGTATGCTTTTGCAGTTCTTGTACTCGATGGTCTCTTTGGTTCACATTTTTGGGAGTTTTTCGTGGCTCCTCTAGTCATGGCTGGAACAGAAAATAAGGCCTGTGAACTGCAGCTAGCTCATGATTTGTCAAGTTCAGTTAATACCAGGCGGAGAGTTTACTCCCAGATGACAGTGAGCAGATGCTGTGGTGATTTGTCAGACATTGCAGGGTTATTGTGTAGACAAATATTTCCCTCTTGTGGAAAGAACTACCTCACATTTTTATGTACACCCGTCCTGCCACCAGCAGCAGAGGAACTTAGTGTGGCTTCCTGCAGCAGAAGGGGGCTATGCTGAAAACAAGGGCATGCAATAGGAGTTCCCAGCCCCAGACTTGGTCTTATCACAGCCCAGGCCATGGACTAATAATGTAACTGCTTCTCTGGTTTCTCAGAGTTCTTACCCAGTGAAAAACTACCAACCAACCAAGAAACCCAGTATATTTGATACAGATTTTTAAGAGATGTGCATTTTAAGAGATATGTATGAAAATGAAAGTTTACGCTAAAACTACAGTTTGAAATATTGTCCAGACTTGACAGAGCAGGTGATAGTTTTTCGTCATTCTC